GCTCGTTTTCTCAGACGCTTGCAGAAAAAGGCTTCCCAAAACAAAATTACTGGGTTAATCTTTTTCACGTTTCCTTGGTTGGTAGATGCACCGGGGACCTGATTATAGCACTTAAAACCTGGAAAAGTCAGATTTTCATGATATGTCACCTTTATGATCTACTTATGCTCTGATGCTTTTGGGAAACGCAGCCCTATTTGACCAAGCACTGTGAGCGAAGCGTCAGCAGCAAACGCTGTCTGTGATTGATTGGTTCTGTCTTTCAGCATTTGCGTATGTTCCGATGAGCAGGAGAAAGTGTTCAATCCTACACAAGTATTCGCTAACATAGTCTATTTTTCCACATAGAAGCTTATTCTATGCACCAAATTTCTTGCTAAATAAATAAAATTAATACTTAAAATGCACTTTAGAATCGATATTTATATGTGAGGATAGATCTTTTCGATTCAACAGCAGTATCGATACTTCAGGATCGATCCGCCCATCCCTACATACATCCCTATAGGCTAAAGACCTGAATCACAGAGCTCATAACAGCATGAAAATCAACCATATCTCCTCCCTCACACAAATGACTCAGAGGTGAGTCAACACGCGGTATGTGGGTCATTGTTTCAGAGGAAACACTGGAGCAGGCGTGTGACCGCTTCGGATGGGCTGTGCTTTCTGGGAAGACTGAAATCTTCATGTCAGTCCCGTGAGGACACACACGTGTCACAGCAGCTCTATGGGATTACCACATACTAAGCCTCTTTAGCAAATCGCTTTAAAAAGACGCAACAAACCTCATGTAGTAGTAACTTAAATCTACATGTAATTCAAATGAAAGGCACAGATGGTTGGATGAGTTATTTTTAAGTGTGACTTTATGGAAATCAAGTATAAAGGCCTCAAATGAAGCCATTAAAATATCCAAACGCAAATTCTTTATCTTGCTTAGCAGGTCACGGTTTGAAATGCGGTGAAATTCTACAACCGATAAAGTATTTATACTGAGCAAAAACAGATTTTAATGCCCAAAACATCAGTATATGCTAATTGATCAGGATCAATAGCTTGGCTAATATTAGCAACGGGGCCAAAAACTCGCAGATTACATTCATTTTCAACAAAAACGCAACACACATTATCTTTGCAAGCTACATACTTTAATTCACTTCTAAATGTAATCGATTAAAGTGAAATAAAAGAGCGAAATGTCGTGCCCAGTTCTCATTGATGTAACGTTAGCTGTCAGGCTAACTTAAGCTAACACCGTCGCCAAGCGATTATATCAGACATTATAGCTGTAAAATGTAAAGTTTATAATAACAAACAATTTTTTATTCGTTTTGTAGATGGTTACGACAAAATAAAATAGATATATTAGTGTATATATAAACTGTGGTCGACAACAAAAGCTGTTTTGCTCTGATGCTAATCAGCTCACAGTTCCAGATTGAGACTGAATTAACGTTACACAAAAATAATACTCTAAATCCGCGTCAAAACAAAAATATTTATATGTTGAATTGTTTGACTTACTGGAATATGCTTACTCATTGAAGATTGTAGCTTAATCATTAAGCCGCTCCGGAGAATAATTGTTGTAGTGTTTGACCATACAGCGCTGCCGTGTGACAAGAGTCTCCGGTAACCGGTTACAGCTGGACTCGAGAAACCGCACCCTACAGCGCAGACTGCATTACCCTCTCTCCATCGACACAAATCACAGACTTTTTATTAATAACAGCAGTTTTATTATTATTAACAATAATATTTTATTTACAATTTTATTAAATAAAACGAAATCAACAAATCAAGTGTATCATGAATTTTATGACATCCTATTCTAAACACATCATATAATTTTAACAACAATAATAAATATAATTACTTATAAAATTAAACTTCTATTTAAAAAGTTTATTAAATCATTACAAAATACAGTGTATTGTGTATTTAATTATTAATTAGAACATTCATATTCTAAACAACAATGATACTTAAAAATGTATTAAATAAAACATTACAAAATAAAATTTATTTTAATTACATTCAAAATCTAAACATCCTACAATGTTAATATAATAATGATGATGATAATAATAATAATAATAATAATTTTGTGATTATTTTCGGAATATTACGATGAAAATCATCGTCATAAACGTAAATGGCGGATTCGTTTATTTAATTTGCTTGGCAACAACAGTGTTTATACAAAGGCATGTCACTATGTGTTCATTTATGTTTCAATTATATGCAATGGCTTTGGTTTTCTGTTAAATAACCTTTTAGTCAAACAACTGCATCTTTCTAGAGATTTGATGAATAATGTGTTGTGGGCTGTTGAAAACAGCTGATGTGCAGAAGCTCACAATAGGAGAGTGGGACTGAACAGACTGGATGGTTCATACATTTGGTTGGGGTGAAAGGGAGCAGATTGGTTTGTTTCAGACTCTGTTAGTCAGTTGTGTGAGCCACTTTGATTGGGGCAGATGGTTATGAGTTTCCAAACAGTCTCATAAAAAACCCTGAGCATTATGCAGGACTCAGAGGAATCCAGAGATATGGTAAATCTAAAAATTTAAATTATCATTATTATTATTATTTCATTTTATTTTTTTGACAATTGGTCAAATGCAATTTGTACAGTTAAAGTTATTTTGTGTATTGTCTTTTGGATGTTTTTGGTACTCCATGATTTTATGTTATTGTGAGTTATATTCATTCTTAAAGCCATCAATGTCAAATTCTTCAGGAAAAAATTCCAGACCAAATGGATGGAGGAAATATGAGTGCAGGAAAGAAGGGTGCGGATCCAAGAGAGAAGCGTCTTTCCTCCTCTGACTGGGACAGAAAAGGGACGTCTGTACCCTTAGTGCCATCAAATGTACCAATTCCAGGCCCCACAAACGACCCCATCATTATTTCCATCGGCCCTCCCCATCGTTGTCCCTCTGTTTCCAGTGAGTCCCAGGACCAGGGTCTCTCGAGAGAAGACAACTACAACAGGCATGGATGGAGAAGGGAGAGCATGTCAACTGGTGAGGGTGGTGTCCCCAAACAAACAATGGATGAACTGAAAAGTGTGTTGCGTGAGAGCTCCCTACTCAGTGCAAAAGGGCAAGATGAAAGAAGGAGCTACCCTCCAGGTCAAAGAGTGGACTGTAAGCCAGACCAGATACCACCTAAGAGTTTCAGCACCTTCAAGCCCCTTTCAGAAGCTAGGAGAGCATCCAGACTAAGAGAAGGAAGTTCTAGCTGGGATTCAGGCGGGTCTTCGATGACCAATGGACCTCCCGGCAGGTCCTCTGGTATGAGTTCACCCACTGCTAAGACATCCCACTGGGATGAAGCTGGCACATCACACTCAGGTCAGAAAGATGATTTATGGTTGACTCAATTTAACACATTTACTTTAACTTGCTCATCGTTCATCTATCTGTCTGTTACTTTATATTCCTAACAGACAAGGAAAGCTCACAGGCACTCTCTTTTGCATCTCAAAGCTTCATTTCTGATGTTGAGCGCATAAAACAGCAAATTGCCCGGGAAAACATAAGCTTTGTTCGCTTTGAGGCCACTGATCTTCATGGCGTGTCCCGATCCAAGACAGTTCCAACTCGATTTTTTCATGTAAATCTTTTTTTTAGAATAGATTCTGTACTGTAGTCAATATAATAGTACAATTTAAGCTGCTGTATGCAATGTTTTTGCAGTAAAACATAAAGATAAAGACATATTTTATACTGAGATGTTTTTGAACGGTGTGGAGAAAGGGGGTTTGTGGTTGACGCCATGGTTGAGGGTTGGTTTAAGTTAGCAAGACAGCTAACATTGCTTACAGCAGCTTTAATGTTAGTAATAAGTTTGACTGTTTAGTGTCCCTTGTAGTAATTGTAGTCGTTTTGAAAATACTGGTAAAATACTGAAAAAGTACTCAACAACATTATTCATTATTGACACCACAGGAAAAAGCGGTATATGGCATCCCTATGCCGAGAAGCTACCTGGAGTTAACCCTAAGCCCCAAAGTCAACGAAGTTGATCATCCGAGTGCAGCCAACTTCAGCAGTGATGTCCTCCTGGTTGCAGATCTCTCCACGTTCCAGATCCTTCCCTGGGCGGACCAGACCGCACGTCTTATCTGTGACCCCTGCACAATCACAGGAGCGCCATTGCGAACATCACCCCGCCTCATAGCCAAGCAGATGCTGGGCCAACTCCAGAGCATGGGATTCTCTCTCCACTCGTCCTTCACGTATGAGTGCTGCATCTTCGGAGCCCCTGAACGAGTGGGACCTAAAGCCGTGTTCTTCCCTGCCACCACGCTGTTGAGCAACTACGATCAACCCTTCCTGCAGCAGCTAGTCAGAGGGATGTACTACATGGGAGTTGACGTCGAAAGCTTCTCATCTGCAAATGGACCAGGACAGATGGAGATTTGCTTCAAACCGCGGTTTGGAATCGATGCCGCAGACAGCGCCTTCACCTTCCGCACAGGAATCAAAGAAATGGCCAGGAAGTTTGACTACATCGCCACCTTTTTCACAGATGGCAACATCCACAATTCCGGGTTACTCTCCCATAGCCTTTGGGATGCCAGTGGCAGAAGAAGCCTTTTCCACTCGGGCAATGGGGAACTTTCGGAAATCGGCAGAAAGTGGCTCTCAGGTCTTCTCCAGCACTCAGCCGCTCTGAGCTGCCTCTTGGCTCCAGGGATCAGCTGTCGAAACCAGCTTTCCAAAGGCAAGAAAAATTCCAAGAACCATCTTTACGCCACATGCGGCTGCAACGACAATAGCTGCGCCTTCAACGTGAAGGTTCATGGTGGACGGGAGACTCACATTGATAACAAGCTGGGTTCAGCAATGGCCAACCCTTACATCGTGTTGGCGGCCACGATAGCAGCAGGACTGGACGGTATTAGACGTAATCTGAATGCCGAACAGGTTCTAAGCAAAGCTCCTGCTCAGCAGAAACAGTTCCCGATCCCTGTTAAACTGGATGATGCTTTAGTAGCTCTAGCAGAGGACAGTGTGATTCGTGGTGCACTGGGAGAGCCTTTCGTGCAGTATTTTATTGCCATGAAGCATGTAGAGATTGAGACCCAAGAGCAGGATGCCGACAGGAACAAGGGACTTGAGTATTTTATTTAACTTCTGAATTTGCTGAATGATTTTGTGTATTTGAACCCAAGAAAATATATTTCATGACCCTTTGATTTGGTATTAAAGACAAATAATACCTTCCTTGCAAACCAGATTTCAAAATAAAATCATCCAACTGACTGATATCTGCTGCACTGTCTGACTGATTTCATTTACAGCATTAATGGGTCTAAATGGTGTAAACTTTAAAGTCAACTTAAACTTTAGAAGTAATAGGGATTTGTTTTTATGAATAGATAATCTACTTGAAGTTAAAACTTTCCAAATTTGTTGAGCTGGGACCTGGAATATCAAGATGAGACAACTGTTGACTCATGAAGTTGCATACATCATGCTATATGTTCCCTAAGCTTGTGATCGAATAACATTACACCTGAATCAAAATTATTCATAAGAATCTGATCTAGCAGGCCCGTCCAATCCTAAAGGCCATGTCCTGCAGAGTTCCAACTTCCCCAAACACAATGCCTGGACGTTTCTAGAAATTTGAAAGACCTGAATTAGCTGGTTCATGCTTGTTTAGTTAAACTCTGCAGGATAGTGACTCTCCAGGAGCAGGATTGGACATCCCTGGAATCCATGAATTTCGAATTGAGTGTACCTGTAGCAAAGTAGATATTTTGTAAAATGCAGGGATGTCTAATCCTGCTTTTGGAGGGCCACCTTCCTGCAGAGTTTAACTCCAAACTTGACTAGACTAGACTAGACCTGACTAGAAGTTTCCAGCAATCCTTAAGACCCTGATTTTAGTGGTTTAGACCCTGGTTTGTGTGTGTTTAATTAGAGCTGTAGCTAAACTCTGCAGGATATTGACACACCAGGAACAGGATTGGACACCGCTTGAATATTGGGTTTAGTTTGGTTAGCGCAGGGGTTTTCAAACCCATCCTGCACTGCACATTTTGTATGTCTCCTGCACTGCACATTTTTGATAATTTTGTATTATCAAACACACCTAATTCAGGTCTTGCAATCTCTAGTAATGTGCGGATTAGCTGATTCAGGTATTTTTGATGAGGGAGACATACAAAATGTGCAGTACTGGGGGGTCTCCGTAACCCTTGGGTTAGCGCAAACTGCTAAATTTGACCTTTATAGTAATCCTGAAGTTAACCAACTACACTAATTTAAAGATTGCCCGTATTATGTAAAAACAGAATCAATTTACCTTTTGGGACATAAACAAACAGTCAAAATTCAACTCAGACTACCAAAGATCCACTCCAGAGAGGATACGGTTGATTTTTATTGGCACCAACAAGCATTTGGGAGGGGTACAGAACAAAAACAGATAAGACCGTGGTGGCCTTTGTGATGATTTTTGACAGGCCCAGCAGCACTTCAGCAACTTTCTTATCATTTGGCTGCGAAAGCAATACATACAACACAATTTTCCTATTTTTGTATTATTCTTTTTTTTCTATTTCAGAGATGAAAACTGGTACACTGGAGTCTGAAGCTGATCTTAAGGGACTCTTCCCTGAGATATTTTTCTGTACGTATATTTAACCTCGCAGTTGTACCAGTGACAGATCCTGATTTGTAGACTACTGCAGCAAAAACTAAAACAGATCATCTTCAGTTGATTTGAATTGAAAGACTATACATCAACTCTGTCAATACTTCACAAATCTTCAGATTCTATAGTTTACTAGTTACTTAGTAGGGGTAGGGGATCTCATTGATCTTGGCGGGGTGGGGGATCTCATGGATCTGGGTGGGGTGGGGGATTTAGGAGCTGGAGTTGGAGTGGGAGATTTCACAGAGGGAGGTGGAGTAGGGGTTGGGGACTTAACGGAGGGTGTAGGAGTTGGAGGAGTCGGGGTCTTCACTGACTGTGGAGCGGGTGTAGCTGGCTTGGGGGTAACGGCGGGCTTGGCCATCTGTCCCAGTTTGGGCTCAGGGATGTCTCCGCCTTGTTTGTAGACACTGACTGTGATCTCCACGAATTCACCTCCGTACTTGTTCCGTACATTGATGCTGTACTTTCCAGAATCTTCAACGTACACATTATTGATAGTGAGGCTGGCGAACTTGCCGCCCTCGAAGGTGATCTTGTAGCGGTCGTCAGACACAACTTCCTGCTCATTCTTAAACCAGGTGACCTCTGGGCTGGGGTCACCCCACACTGTGCAAGTTAGACTCAGGCTCTGCAGAGGTGAAAGGTCACAAAGTATGTGCAGATAAAACTATGAATCAGTCATCAGTATAATATATGAACACTTTATGACAACACAGTTCACTTGTTAGAAATGTATTAATAGGAAATACCAAGTGTAGTTCTAGTTAACATGGGAAAAGTAAAAGATATACTACCTTCTTCTCCATAATGGTGACAACATCTGGCAGGCCACCTACCACTCTACCACGGTCTACAGAGAGCAAATAGTTCATATAACACATCTGGACACTATTTCCAACTTAAGCAAAAAATCAAAAGAATTAATAGGTTTCTGTAAAAAAAAAAAAAAAGTTGATTTTATAATAAATAAGTTACTTCCATTTGTATGAAAATTTGGGTCATGATTCTGGCATCTAAACACATTCCTAAACCGCTTTAATGAGATTATTTTCATTGTACAAAGCTTTACACTCCATTATACTGCCTGAGTTCAAGTATGCATGAATGCCGGATTAGAGCAATATTAATGTTGCATTTGAGCAGTTCTCAGAAATACTCACTCTTCTCAGCAAAGGCAGCAGCTCTGATGAAACAGAGAGAAAATATCAGTGTGTGTGGCTCTATTTGTAAGATGATTCTTAAGAAAAAAATAAGAGTAAAATATGAATAAACTGAAGCAATGGAGATTCTCTTACTTCAGTCTTTGGAATTCTGCATAGGCATCAGTGTATGCTGTTAGAATGGAGGAACACATTACAAGAAGTAAGTAACACATTATAACAGAGTACCTGACAAATAAGTGTTCCCATGACAAAGAAAAGATTGCATTTTTAGCCTATTTAATGTAGATTTTGTATGCAAAATTCTGAGCCTATAGCATTCAGCAGTCCAGCTTCCACTTGCCTTGTCCAGAAAGGTCAAAGGTGCGAGAGTGTGATTTCTTCCCATCATGAATCTCAATGGTATAATGACCCTTTTCCTTATCTGTGGGCTCACAGATCTGCATCCAGGCCATCTCAGATGTGCCTCCGATTCTCATCTTCTCTGAGGAGGAGATTTTACTGTCTCTAAAGCCAAAACAACCAAAAAAAACATTAGCTATAACCCACCAAACACAACACACATTTCTGTCAAATTCTGTTTTGATCTCAAGCTTATATTATCATATAACACATCATATAATTTCATTAGCATTTGATTTGTATATTTTGAGTCTGAACATAATTGTCTCTCTTCATGTGGATGTACCTATGAAACCAGCTAGTTTTCATCTCCTCTGTGTAGTACTTCATGTAGCATTGCAGTCTGATACCCTCTGGTGTGCACTGAAGAACCAAGTCAGAGGCAGAGGAACCTGTAAAAAAACACACAAAACATTCAAACTGTAATAGTAATACTATTCTTAATTGGATCTGAAAAATGAATCTAATCATTTCAGCCAGTTCAAAAAATCAGAAGAGAGTAACCAACATACCAGCAATACTGGCGATTGCGTTGATGATATCCTCAAACACTAACAAAAAGAGAATAAAAAATTCATAATCATAACAAATAGTGTTTACATCAAATTTACAAATACACAGTGTATTTATAGTGTGTCTATAAATACACTACTGTTTAAAAGTTTGGGCACTCTTATACTCACCAACGTGGCATTTATTTGTCCAAAAGTGCAGTAAAAACAGTAATATTGTGAAATATTATTACAATTTAAAATAACGGTTTTCTATTGGAATACATTTTAAAATGTAATTTATTCCTGCGATGACGAAGCTGAATTTTTCAGCATCATTACTCCAGTCTTCAGTATCACATGATCCTTCAGAAATCATTCTAATACACTGATTTGCTGCTCAAGAAACATTATTATCAATGTTGAAAACAGTTAATATTTCTTAATTATAAGTCTTTCCTGCCACTTTTGATCAATTTAATGTGTCAATGCTGAATAAAAATATTAACTGCTTAAGAAAATCTTACTGACCCCAATCATTTAAACACCAATGTTTATATATATATATATATATATATATATATTCATTATATCTTATAGTTCAGAGATGAGTACCTTTGCCAGAAATGTCATAGACAGAGGTGTCCTTTCCATGGTCATCACCCAGTACAGCTTTGTAAATTCCCTGGTCTTTCCTGGAGAACTGTTAGAACAAAAAACAGTTACAAAGTATGTACATATTCAGAATTATGAAGCTCTAAACCGTTATAAAAGATGAATTGCATTTATGTTCATGCTTTATAAACTTTGATCTCTGGAGCGCTGGTTGTCATACCATGGGGATTGGAAGAGAGCAAGATCCAGACATTGGGTTTGGTGGAACATCAACAGGAATTTCTTCATCATCTTTAAACCAGGTAAATGTTGTCTCTTTCTTCACATTGGCCAGCTACAGTGTAAACATGTGGCAAGGATAATGATAAGAGACTCTGGTATCAATGTTAAACAGTCTTTAAATTGCTGGGTTGCATTTACCTTGCAGACTAGCATCACTGTGCAGTCATCCGTCACATGGAAAGACAGGTACTCTGAGAAGTGAGGACCTGAGAGAACCAGAATAATGTCTCTGATTAATAAATGAAAACTGACCACATAGTACAAGCAATACTGAGAATATGGGGTACAAGTTTGCCATTTTTGTGGTATTTATGTTGCTTCACAAACCTTGTTTTCTGATGTGCTCTTTTCTCTGGAACTCAGCTTCCTTCAGAGCACCTTTGAATGCTAAGATTAGAAAAATACAAAGAACATGTGCTCACAAAGGTTTTATACTTCTGTACTTATCCCAAAACTGCACTGTGACTGGACGTTTACTTTTATACACTGTTAAGCCCTTACCGTCTCCCACAAGAACCAGTGAGCTTTGGCTCTTGGCCTTGCCATCGTGGATCTGAATGGTGTAAGTGCCTTCATTGGCCTTGGTGAAGTGCTCAATAGTCATCTGGATGATTCCAGTAGAAGCATCATGGCTGATTTTGTAACCCTAAACACGCAGTAAAATCATTTAAAAACGTTTTATCAAGGGTTTTAACTGTGACTAAAATATATAATAATAATAATTATTATTATTATTATTAATACAATTGCCTTAATTTTATTTGTAGTTTTTTTTTTAGTAAAATAGTTATTTTTTAAATAAAAATAAATAATAACTGGCTAATTTTAGTTATTATTTGTAAATATTATTATTATTATTATAAATACTACTACTAATAATAATAACAACAATAATAATAATAGCTTATTTTTTCCTAAATTAAAAAAAAAATGGTTTACAGGTTTTTGGGAAACACTGAGTGAAGTGCTGGTCTGTACCTCAGCACTCGTGATGGCTTTATCATTGACGATGAACCTGTAGTTGACAGAGGAGGACAACTTCATAGCCTGCACCCAGAAACGCACGTGACCCTTCTCCAGAATCTCATAGTTCAGCTCCGTCTTCAGTGGAACAACTGATATAAAAGTAAACCGTAATGTATTTAAACACCAAATCATTCTTAGATGATCTAGATTCTCATGAAATGACAACCAAAATCATTCATGAGCAATCCACAGGCAACTCACTGGGATGTTTGATGTTGTAGCTCAGCTCAAGCATTTTCTTGAGCTCTGTAAAAGAAAACAGGTATCATGTTAATTGAACTTAAGTACATAGAGAAAGAGATATTTAAACCCAATATCTGACCTTCTTCATTGACGGAGTAACTGGATGAAACTCCGTCTGTATTGGTCACCGCGACAGAGTAGATGCCCAAATCCTCCTTCTCAGCGTTTACAAATGTCAGCTTCGAGCTTGACAGAACACATTGCAGCTTGTAAATTTATACCACTTTGCTACAGAACTTCAATATGTAATGATGCTGTAGTAATATACACAACATAGTATCATGACAATTTGTAAGTATTTTACGATTTGATAAACTGGTTGCAATTGCGTATGAATCTCATTTGTACATTTTTGTGCAATCTGTTGACGCACCCCTTAGGGTTATATTTAGGGATGGACCTTGGTGGTGACGTTTTACCCACAAATGTTTTCATATCAGATTGAGTCAAGATTGTACAAATTCATACAGAATCACCAACTTCTACAATACTTTTAAATTCTCATGAGACTGGGTTGAATAAATGACAAAATCCACACAGATCAGACATACTTTCTTCCAGAGGACGTGATGGAGACCCTGCTTGATTCAGTGATTTCTTTGTAGGACTTTGACCATGTGAACTTAGAGGTCTCAGAAACTTCACAAGCTTCAAAGTTCAAGAAAATGTCTCCGGTCTCTTCATCCACACCACATACAATCTCCTTTGTACCTTAAAAAAACAAAATAACATCAAAATAAGGACTTGTATCTACCGTAATCCACTTTTTGTCATACAATGAAAGGTGATCCCATTTGCTTCCACTGTATGGAAAATAGCAGCGTGGACATCCTGCTAAACATCTTTTGTGTTTCAATCAAGAAAGAAATATGATTTGGAACAAAACCTATATGCTGCATGTTAAAGAAAGGTTGTTGATGAGTGCTTACGGTTGGTAATAATGCAGTATCGCAGTTACCTGGCAGCGCTTTAGCACATACAGGATCGGACACATCTGAGGCTTTTCCAACATCTTTAGCATTCACAGCCCGCACTCTGAACACATATGAAGCTCCAGTCTCTAGTCCAGACACCTACAGATCAGTGTATAAACATATGAATATTTATTTCACTTATCACATTCATGTCCTTATCTTCAATGTTGGCATTTTTCAGTTTTGCAACAAAATGAGGGGTTTTGTGTGATACCTTCAGGTAACAATGCCCAACTGGCTCCGCATTCACAGCGACAAAATCTGATGAGCCCTTCTTAGCCATGTCCACAAAGTAGCCAGTGATGGGACCAGCTCCGGCGTACACAGGAGGCTTCCACTGCACCAGGACGAAGGTATCACGCACCTCCCAGAAACTAATGTCATATGCTGGGCCTGATAACAAAGAGAGAAATAATGAATTTAGACAAGATGGTATTTTCGGCTGTGCAACCTCCATATATGAATTACGATGACAGGAGCTATTGATGTTTAACTCAGTGCAGCTATTATTTTTTCAGGGTACTGACCAGGTTCAGCCATTGTCCAGGCCTCGCAGGCAAAAGCTTTGCTGGGCTCAGATGGAAGGCCAACTCCGGCCAAGTTAGCAGCCTGAATCTTGAACTCATAGAAAACTCCAGTGGTCAGATTCTCCACCTGGATCCAGAAGTTAAAAATACAGACCAATCCGGAAAACACACAACAACTGTATACATTTAGAGTAGTTTTTTATTCCATATGTATAAATAATACATCACGCAGCATATTTTCATATCTAAAGTTCTTGAATACATATTGACAAATATATTCATGTAGAGCGTACCATGAAGGTCCTGTGGGCAGCTGGACTGGGGTTAACCTCCTTCCAGTCCACTGATTCTGCCTCGCGCTTGTCCAGGTAGTAAGACGTGATCTTAGAGCCGCCAGTGTTTTTGGGGCGTTTCCAGGCCAGGGTCATGGAGGATCCATTACAGTTGAGCAGACTGATGCCGTATGGGGCAGAGGGAGTAGCTGATCATGTGGGACAGAGGGAAAAAATGCTCAGCGTGACGGATAAAGGTCCTGACGATCACATACGGTATGAGCGACTGGAGCCATTGTGGATCAAATAATAATTGACTGTGACATTAGATTCAGTGATACTGATAGAGTGATTGGTTACAGACATCATACACAAATTCACAAGCAGCCAAGACTTTTAATGTGCCTACAATAAGTGTGCCTCACATTGCAGGGACTTTACTAAATATTGCATAAAGGAAGTGCTGATTTTATTAGGCTTGTGTGTAAATAACAGGAGTGGATGTGCTAAATCACTTTATAAATGGAAATATATCACATACGTACCATACTCCACTGCCCCAACTGTATAAGATAACACAAGTGTTTATATGGCAACGACTTCAAAACATGGCGCTTTATTGAAATGCTAAATGAGAAATTGTGCATGTCCACCAATTATATGCTAATTCTCAGTCTTCTAAGTCTTTTTTTTTCATTTAAAATCCGTTTGACACCTACACACACACACACACGTGTACTATATGTCCTCTCTATTGTTGGATTTTTTTTGCATAGTATTACATCTGCAACTGACAATGTCTGTTTTCGCATGATAATACATCCACACCAGTAGGTGTCAGTATAAACTATAAGACCACCGTTGTATTCAGGCCAGTAAAACACAAAAAATATTTATTGCACCTTTAATATCCTGCTTTAAGATTCCTACTATTCCTACACCTTTAATATTTTACTATTTATTTGACTATTTATTGGATACATTTGCGTATTTTTGCATCTACAACTGACAATGTTTGGATAATACATCCACACCAGTAGGTGTCAGTATAAACTACAAGACCACTGCTGTATACAAGCCGGTGAAACACAAAAAAATATGATTTAGTGTGCCTTTAAATAAAAAATGAATCACCATTTTGGTTAGTCTAATCCTAACTTCCCTTTCCTTTATAACCTTTGTAACACTGCTACAGGAGTCGTAAAGTTGTATACGTACAAAGAGCAGCATCAATGAAGAAAGGAGCAGAGTCCTGTGATTCTTCACTCAAACCGGAAGCATTCACAGCTTGCACACGGAACACGTAAGTGTCTCCGGGGACCAAACCATGGACCACAAACCTGACAAATGTAAATCCAGATAGTCAAGCACAATGTAAACCTACTTCCAGAAACCAGTCAAAATTTTTCAAGCAATTAATAAAACGAAATCTGGACATTTTTGTGTGCATTTTACCTGGTGTGTTTGTAAGGCCTGTGGTTACAAGGGAACCATTTCTTGGAGCCGACCAGAGATGCATCCACATAATAACCCATGAGGTTGTTGGCATGTTTCGGGGGCTCCCACTGCACAAAAGCAGATGTTTTGGTGTTTCTGGAAGCAATCACCTGTCCTGGGGCAGAAGGGACACCTGCACAAACAAAACACACGATTTTTAAAAAAAAACATCATGACATATTTTCACTGGTTTAACTGGGAGTGGAAGTCTGCTGTGCTGAAAGTGAACATGTTATGGTGGATGGATGTGTCCTGAGGTGGGACTAAAATAATAAAAGTGAGCCAAACAACAACAAAGTGTCAAAGTTCTTGTGGAGGAGGACAACTTTTAAGATCATACTATTTGAAACTTTTAGCGATCTATGTGATTTCCCTTTTCGCAAAGCAGAAGGCTGTGGTAACATAAACATACATACCAATGTTCGAAACAACACCTGCAAAATACAGCATAGAAGAAGCATTTGTAGGATTTTTTTTGCACTGAACAACATCCTCTGGACATTTTATTTAACATAGCTTTGCATCTGACAGTTAAACAACCACAACAGCTGGACTCAGTTTAGAGCCTTCTTACCATAAGGGTCCACCTTTTGGATGGCTGCTGTGGGCTCTGACGGCTCACTTGAGCCATACTTGTTGACAGTGATTACGCGGAAACGGTAAGATTTCTTGTCCTCCATATCGTAAACAGGGAAACGGGGAGATCGTAGCTGGACCGCAGTGTTGACTCTCTGCCAGATGTGACTGTCACCTACACACTAAGTCATGGAGAGTCACAGATGGCCATTATGAGGAGAGTTTCCCCTTAAAAACCCAGGAATTATGGGGAAAAACCTATTTACAAAATATAATGACTAGTACTGTAAAATTACATTACTTTAATAGTGTATTACATTAAAATATTACATTAAAAATGCAATTAAAGACTTAATTAAGTAATTTAGTTTATAGCATTTTTATGTATAAATGTGACCCTGGATCACAAAACCAGTCATAAGGGTCAATTTTTCGAAATTGAGATTTATACATCATCTGAAAACTGAATAGATAAGCTTTCCATTGATGGTTTGTTAGGATAGGACAATATTTGGCCGAGATACAACTATTTGAAAATCTGGAATCTGAGGGTGCAACAAAATAAAAATATTGAGAAAATTGCCTTTAAAGTGGTCCAAATTAAGTTCTTAGCAATGCATATTACTAATCAAAAATTAAGTTTTAATATATTTACAGTAGGAAATTTACAAAATATCTTCATGGAACAAGATCTTTACTTAATATAGGGAAAAAGTATTGCACGCGAGTGCTTTGTAAACATCCTTAAATATACAAAGCATCATGAAGCTTTGCGATGCAGTAACAGTCAGATCCAAAACATCTGCTTCATCTTTCAACAGCAGTTTCTTTGTGAATGGATTACAAAACACTGGTGCAATCCTCGACAGAACCCGTGTCTCGACCCCTTTCACATCAGCTGTTCAGAAAACCAGTGTACTTCAGTTCAGAAGAGCGCGTTTGTTTTAAATCGTGGTTTATAAAACAGTCTGTTACTAAAAATAATGAGTAGCTGTGTAACTGCAGTACAAGTAAACTACGTTACCCATAATGCCGTCTTCCCACAGTTCCATAGACCTCCTGCGTCTGTTTTTAGACTTTGGCTGCCTCTGAAATTGCATACTCTCCAGTAGGTACTTTTTTGAATAAGTAATTACTTCACGGCCGCAAAAAGAGTATGTTCTATATAGTATGGATGTAATCTGGAAGTACTACATTCACATCCCTACTCTTTTATGAGTACTGTGGATTCGGACTTGCTTCTTTTGTCATATACTGTTTTTCGCCTACTATATAGTAGGGAAGTATGTTTCGGATGCAGCCATCATGCTTGTAGATATAGGGACCACACTGACTAGATAAGCACAATTTGAGACGTCAAGACATTAGGGACCTACTTTTTATCTTAATTTTAAGAACTTTATATGTACATTTCTAATTTTGTTCTACTCTTTTGTACTACTACAAATGATTACTAAAAACACTTACTGTTTGCACTGTACTTGTTGTATAAAAGAGCATCTATTAGCTCTTTCAGTCATTCCTTCCTGATTTCTCTGAAGTTTCAGAGATGAATAAAGCTCTCAGAAACCGCACTCTTCCGGACTGATGCTTTCTTCTGGCTGTTTAGAAATCCAATCCATAGAAATCCATTAACAAGTGCTGATTGTGTTTTAGTTTAAACATAAGAATCACAAAACGCACAATGCCACATTTAATGTTTATTTAAAATATTAAGCTGCATGATAATATTCCATGTTATAATTACTATGTAGTATAAAACTCATTTGATTTAAAAACAATGAAGGAATGAATGGAGCAGCACAGAATGAAGGAGACGTATAAAAGGTTTGGAGACAGAAAGCGAGAGAAGTGATGAACAGCCAAACCATCAGAAGGAGCGAGTGGTTCACAGAGTATCACGCCGTCTCGATCTGGCGCAGGACGATGGTTTTGGGGTTGATGGCCACGTTCTTGGTGGTGTTGTGTGTCTTATAGATGCCGATGAGACGGTCGGCCATCTCAAACATGTTGTTCCTCAGGGAGATGATGATGAACTGAGCGTTCTTGGTTTGCTCCTGCAATAATGTGGGAAAGTTCAACAGAAACATGTTAGAATTAGCATTGCACTGATTGCCTGTATAGCTGAACTCCTTCAAATCAGCAATGGCTTTAACAATCAGTCATCCTGTTACAAGACACACTTATTCATTCATTTTTATATAATTGTGTTAATTTTTTTCAGGATTACACTGAATTCAGTTTTGTCTAGGTGTATGTAGGGATGGACATTTAAGAAAAAACTGAGTTCATTAAAATCAAGCTCATTAAAAGGTGATATATAAATAGATGTACAATGAAGATGTGAAATGTAAAAACGTTAAATGACCACTGCAATGTTTCAGAACATAAGACATATGTGACCCTGGAGCACAAAACCAGTCTTAAGTGTCAATTTTGTGAAATTGAGATTAATGCATCATCTGAAAGCTGAATAAATAATCTTTCCATTGATGTATGGTTTGTTAGGATAGGACAATATTTGGCTGAGATGCAACTATTTGAAAATCTGGAATCTGAGGGTGCAAAAAAATCTAAATATTGAGAAAATCATCTTTAAAGTTGTCCAAATGAAGTTCTTAGCAATGCATATTACTAATCAAAAATTAAGTTCTGATATATTTACAGTAGGAAATTTACAAAATATCTTAATGGAACATGATCTTTACTTAATATCCAAATGATTTTTGGCATAAAAGAAAAAATCGATAATTTTGACCCATACAATGTATTGTACAAATATACAAATATAATACATTTTGTGGTCCAGGGTCACATTTGTGAAAGCGGGAATTAACATTTTTAAGAGCTGCAGAAACTCTGTATGCACTATGTGCTCTCTTGCATTAAATGATTGCACACAGCGTTACGTACCTGCTCAAGTTGAGCTTTCTGCTTCTCTGTGGGTTTCTTCTGCTTGAGCTCTCCTTGGACCTGGATCAGCTGAAGAGAGAGAGATATGAATGAGTTAACCAACTCTTAACCTCTTCATTCATTCAGAAAGGCACACGGGTGTGTGCGGTTACCTCTCGAACACCCTGCAGGATCTCCTGAAGGTCTCCTCCTTTGCTCAGAGACGTCATGCTGGACTGGTGACACGCAGCGTCTCTCTCCGTCATCAGACGGTCTCTCTCGGCACAAACTGACTGCAGCATCTGTGAAGCAGCGGAGAAACGTTCTGCTTCTGAATCACACTCGGCAGCACAGGAGCTGATGGTGTGCGATATGACAATTTTTGATCATGGATTAAAATGTCTCCACAATCTGCTTTTGAAGAAATATCGTAGTATCGTGCTACAGCGCACATTCTATCAGTTCCGATGCCTCCGCCTCAATTTACTGTACATTCACATCAAATGTTAACTCGGCGGTAGAGTTACACTGCACTTATTCACAATCACAAAAGTACATTATTTGCATGTGCTTTAAA